GTCCTCCCAACACTAAAACATCTTAATCAAGCTAAAAGCTAGCAGTCTGAAATGACGCCCAAGTTCTGCACCATCCCCATACCCTGCCCACAGCCATATAATATCCAGGAGTGCATTTCTTTGTATCAACATGATTAGAATCATTGAAATAATTACTGAAAAGTCTATGCTGATACAAATGTTACCATTAGATTATTATCATGTTTGTTGTTAAGGATATATTTTTCTGGAATGGAATGCTAGTGTGAGGCACAAATGCTGTTATGTAATACTGTTCAAATTACCCTGATTACTTGTGTATGTAGAATGCAAACAAGTAACAGAAATTGAAATCAAATCTGGTATTCATCCTGTTCATCAAGTCAATAAAAAGCCAACATTGCCATTACCAGCTACTTTGCTATGTTTACATAATTAACATTGCCTTAAATGAGAAGTAGACCTATCCGAATCACAGAATTATCATCATGTTTCCAATATGCCATGATATGTATCAATACCAGTGTTTAAAAAGCTACTTGCCTCCTAGCCAAATGACAGTGACTTTTAAATTGGGTTAGTAACATTTCTGTAAACCTGGCCAGACTTTCTGGTTGAAAGTTCTAGTCAATGCATACCGTATTTGACGTAATAAGCGCCCGGGGCGCTCTCAAAATTAGAAATAGGGCCCTCTTATTATAATATAATTTTGGTGAGAAAAAAACAGTGTTGAAAGATTGTAAATTTCATAGTTTATGCTGACAGCCTGAAATGATACAAAAGAAAAGTATGTGCATATCATACTCGACAGATATTTTTTCCAGAATTTAATTGCCCATAATTAAGGGTGCATATAACACACAAGTGCGTATTATACACGAACAAATAAGTCTTGTGTACATTGATCAATCGGAAGGGGTGCTAATTGGGATTGTTCACAAGCCACTGTATTAGCAAATATCGCTGTGGGCGCTTATTAGAGCGGGGCGCTTATTACGTCGAATTACGGTATTTATTTCCACAAATCATCAAGTCAGAAAGGCATCATTTAATGTCAAGGTCTGTTGTCATTTTGTTTGGAAACCCACATGAAGTAAACTGGTTTTTGCTGTACATTGATGATCATGATTGTGGCTAATATACATGTACATGCGTTATAAGCGAGGCATGTGCAAGTCTGAGAACCAACACAAACATCAGACAGACATATTGTGCCAAGTAGCCAATCAGCTTTGCCATAGTTTAGTGTAATGATCTCAAGACTATTTTAATACACATCGCCAATGGCGGCCTCCACATGACAGTTTGAAATTTAGGTTAACACAAAATATTTAGGCAGTTTAGCCATTAATTAGGGCTAGTAAAATTTAATGAGGGCTTGCAACATATTTTGTTGACAAGCCCTCCTGGCCAGTGACCTTTGGAAACTAATCATGCTAATTCATATACTGATCGATACATGTCGTAATACATCCACTGTGTATTGAAATATATCTCTATTTCAATATCAGTATATCACATATATAATTACATGTCTCATATTCTGATTAATCACGATAATGTGCATATGCATTCCATGGCTTCTGTCGATTTGCACTCAACATCATTGTTATTTCTTAGCCCCTATTTTTTCACTCACTCAACTAGAGCTTATGTTATGGCATGTTGTCTGTCTGTCTGTCCTTAACTTTTACATTTTCTCTGAAAGTACGAAGTACCATGCCTATTTAGGTGAAACTTTGTGTCTTCACAGAATTCCAATCCAATTGGTGGCCATATTGCAAATATCAGTTTTAGCCATTTCTCCTGACATTTCTGCATGTATCAGTTTGAAATTTGACATCAGCAAGTATACAACAGATAACAATGATACATGTGTGTTGTAATACAATAATTAAAAAGGAAATATTTATATTGTTATGTTATAGGTGTAGTTAGTAGTGGGGCCTAACAAATATGGTCCATTTTCGGAATTTTGATCATAATCCAACCTGTACAGCATAACAGATGATGTTAATGAAGTGAAAATGCTTTCATCATTGTTCAAGGGCAATAAAATTAAGTAAGAGCAAATTGGTAAAGTTTTATAATTCTACACCAGATATAGGAGAACAAGTTCAAGCAGGCCTCACCAACTTCACTGATGGCGGGTTTGGCCAATTTGACAAGTGTGTCAGTTTGCATAGCTGGTCAAAACCAAAACAGCCATTGCTTCGGCCAAGAGCCACAAAGAAGTTTTCACATTTACCATGCTCTTAAACAGCTTCTCGTTTGAAACTTTTTAATTGATGAAGCTCAAATTTAGCATGCATGTTCCTTTATATGAAGACATTGTATGGTGTCCCAATCAGTGTGATTTTATTGTGAATTTTCTCTGTAACGTGTAAATATTGAAAAAATCAAATTTTACGAAAAGTGTAAGAACCACAAGGCACAGGGCTCAAACTTTGTGTGAATGTTATGATTATTAGAAGATCCAAGTTTGTTCAAATCATCACTATGTGTGCTCAACGTTCTTTTTGTTAACGATGTTGCAAACATACTTCTGTTTCTCTTTTCTCCAGAGTCAACTTGTTCATATGTCAGTTGAGCATTATGAGCTACAGGGTCTCGTGGCTCCATTTTTCTCTCATTTTTTTCATGCTAATCTGATGGCAAGCTCAGTGGCCAAACAGTAGTCAGACTTGATATGCAACAGATCATATGGATAGCTGAAAACACTCTCCAGGTTTATCTGTGTATGTCTGATATTTGACACATCATGGTATTTGAGAGTTTATTGAGTTTTCTGAAAATAGTATCTCAACATGCTCAAGAGGATAAAAAGTATGAAAAGTGTTTGAGATCTAGTGAGCACAACAGTTGAAACTGTTGACCACATGCATTGTTTGAAAAGCCAAAAAACAAGTGATAGAAGTGAGAAAATTGATCTGAAGTATTGAATGAAGAAATATGTTTCATGACTAGTTTTAGTGGTGCAAATCTTGTCTCTCTAAGTGTCTATACAAGCCATGATAAGATCCCTTGTTATCAGGTCTTATGGACAGCTCTAAAACACTGCTTCATCTCAGTATGCTAAAGGAAGGATGTTCCCCACTGTGACAGTCTGGTGCCCATTTCTAGTCTTAATGTTGTAAATAATTCTGTGTGTGAAATTTTAAGCATTGTTTTTGTATAATCAGGATAATTATCAACTGTTGGAATGATAACATCATAACATTTAAGTTAGCAGACAAACATTAAGACCCTCAAACAACTTGAATTAAATTGGGACTACCAATTTGTAATCTTTTAACAGTATTTGACACTTTCCAACATATGTCAGTACAACTGCATAGTATCCTGTAGGATCTCTCTACTAGACACAATGGTCCTCACCAAAAAGGATTTTAAAAGGTATTACTTCATTCTGCAATTAGAATGAGAAACCAGCCAAGAAGGTAACCACTGTACCATGCAGGGTTTTTTAGGTTGCTGCATTTGCTAAGAGTTGATCTGTTGCTGATTTCAAAAGTCATTTAAGAATTGGCCCTCACTCTATGAAGGTTCATACTCCAATGAACTCACACAAAGTAAAAGTCAATTCTTATAATTTTTTATCACAATTTCTTACCTCCAAGGATGTAGGCCAAGATCTAAACACAATTTGATTTAGTACATGTGACTTCATGTTTACACTGACAGCCATACAACAACCAGCTATATCGCGGAGTAAAATAGTTCCTCTAAAAGAGAGGTGACATGAGCGTATGGATGCACAACTTTCTCTTCAGAAACATCTTACGCGGCACATGTGTTCAAATCAAATCCTCATTAGATGAGAAAGTTCTGTAAAGAACTACCTCAGTAAGTCAATCACAATGACAGCGCGTCGTAATACATTTACATCAAGTACAAGACCTCAAAATGTCCGACATGATAAACGAGACGTCATTTCAAGAACACGGTCTCGTGAAAAACGTATGAACGTCAAATTGTGTCGTTCGTACACTTATGAACGTCAATTTTGCGGTCATGTGACCGACCTCTCGTCCAATGGAAAAGCCGTACATCGTGTAAATTTCAAATTAAAAAATTATACAAACTTAAATTACTTTGTTCATCCCCAGAATAACACTAGACCACCGGACCAGCATCTATTTCATTTTGACTCGTCCTTAAAAAACGTATTTTAGACTTGGACCAGCAGACCCAATAGTGTCAAACACTGCTCTATTAATGTGAATTACTATGGTAATGGAACATAATTTTTTAATTTGTAGAGTTACTCAAATATTGTAACAATCATGGTCCTGATGGTGATTTTTAGAAACGTGTAACTGTAGATGGTCTATGGTCAACGTAACCACCAAGAAATTGAAACTAATTTTCAATTTTAATCCTCCCCACTTTTTGTCAACCTATTGTGATGTCATCCTATTGTTGCTAGTATTCATGCACTTAGCTTTCTGAGAGAAAGATTTATAAATATCCTTTTGATATGCACCTAATGTTGATTTTTGACTGGTTAAAAGTCACAATGTTTTACATGGCAATTCCATGATGTTTATTGAACAGCAATCACACATATTATGTTTAGTATTGTTGCCCACTGTTTTCCCACTGAGCCACTGGTACAGGTGATGCTGCATGTGGTCTTTCTCTTGCCCACGGTTATCAAATCCTTTTATACCACACTTACTATATTATTTCACTATAAGGTATCCTAATGGTTTTTTATTCTCCCTGATATTTCTTGCATTTAGACGGTTCACAATGTTCCTTGATTTGGGTTGAAAATGTAAAATCGTAAGCAAGGGTAGGGCAAAGACTAAAACCGAGGAGGAGTGTTTTAACTATAACTTAACACATTCACTTGTCATTGAGGTATCGCTGTAGAATGAACAATACTCTACTGATACAGTAGCAAGCAATGGGGCTATGTTGGTGTAGGGGTTAGCTTGATTAATACCTAACTGATTATAGTGTTAGCTGTTGAATTATTGTCCAGCAGATAATGTATTTTGATTAGGCTGTGAACATAATAACATTACAATGAACCAACAGGTCTTGTTCCGACACATTCTCTTAGGATCAATGTAAAGTCACCTAAATGGGGTCATTTGAGTCAGTGAGGAAATGTACATCAAATTTGAGTTGATCAGTTGTGTTGTCTTCTTGTTATCTCAGTAAGTATGTTAGAATTTATGTATTTTTTGCAACTAATGCTGAAAAAGAAGGTTATGATTGCAACTGCCAAATGATGTTAATCATTGTTCAGATAATTCAGGTGGCCATTACTCTTCCTTTGGGCCATTACATTAAAAATATATTAATTTCAACCCTCATGTACACTAAACCTGGAAATATCATTATGTGAAATGGTAATAGATGATATGCTTGTTATTCAAGATATAGCGTATTAATTTTGTCTGTATTGTGAAGCTGTAGTGATTTTTGAGACTGTTAGTCACAAAAAGTTAATGTCAACATGTACATAATACAGACAGTATAAGACATGTCCATTATTGCTTAGTGTGTATGCATTAGACAGAATAACAAAGAAACTTTGTATGATAATAGTAATAGTAATAAACAACGATTACTAGTTATGCTCAGTAAGTGTAGGGTTCACCATTCCTTGGTTTTATGTGTCTATGGTGAAAGTCATAATGATGAATGAAACCATTAATAATTTGAAAAGTAATTAATTTTAATTATTTTATTTTGAATGGTTAAGGATGTAATACAAATATAAACAAGATAAAGAAGAGTATTTTGAGATTGTAGCTACTGTCTTTTTCATATATGTTTTATACCGGTATATATATTTATGAATAAAACCCCAATGTGTTCAGTAGTTCTTAGATCCATTTACTCCGCTAGTAATTTAACTCATTTACAAGCTCCTTCAGGCCATATGCAAAATGGATACATAGTGCACATCATTATAATGATTATTAATCATTGAATGTTGAATAAATATTATGCATAATAACTTTGACAACTGTGACTTAGTAAGTAGGACTTTGATATTTTCAATTTCAGATAGTATGAACAGGTGAAGTGAGACAATATTAGCGTCAGCCATGAGTGTGGAGAGGAATCTTTCAGGCAACAATGCGGGGGACATGTGTGAGGGGTTTGAGTTCCAGAAGAAGGTCTCTGACCTCCAGGAACAGAGCCTTGGCCCACTGAAGGAGGACCTGGTGGACTGGCTGGGCAAGACATTATGTAAGTCAATTATACCCGAACATTTGTACACAAATATTACCAGGATTACACCACCATTTAATACCATACCATCTAGGTCGATTTCTAGAAGTCTCCTGACTTCATTAGCCATGATTAGCATTGATCAGTCCCAATTTGTCCAATTTGAGGCATGCATCAATGGGTTTTCTGCTGCTCATCACATCACATGTGACTGACACCTGAGATAGTGTTCAGCCCTTAGAGAAAAAGTCATTTTCAGAACAACACCAGCTATATCAGATATAAATAAGAAGCAGTTGTACCCCTTTCTTTTTCATTTGGATTACATCTTATTACATAAGCATGTTAAGCTGGTTTATGTGTTTATTTTCAAAGTGATTGTCCTGTTTGCAAAAGTAGCTTTATCACTGGCTTCATTAAATAATCATCATTTAAACCATGATTTCTATGTGTGCCAACACCAGGAATGTATTTAATAATTTTGTCTGAATTTCTATGATTTTGCACATACAGTGATAGAAATTGGCACTAGTCCTATAGCCCTTGCCAAACTGCCCAATTACGTTATCATAAGGACAAGTAGACATTTGCCATTTTTTAAGGGTTTTGCGAAATGTTGTCATTGAAAGGACTAGGGGACTAAATGTTCTATCGCTGACATGCCATTGGCACTTAAACTTTTGAACCCTGGACTTATTTACTATCACTAGTAATCATTAAATCAATCTTGTCTCTCTTTTTTTTTGCATCTCTTACAAATCTGTGGTGGTTATGCAAAACAAATGATACAGGTTTGTTTGTTTTTCAGTTATTTTTTTAGCATTGATATCATGGTTAAGCATATTGTAATTGGTCATAAGACTCACATCAACTTTGAAATAATCATAATGATGGGAATTAGCTGTTGCAAACCTCATGATCACTGCATTGATGTGATAGAAACATAATGTGTCAAAGAGGATTACATTGAACAGTTAAGCAGTGTTGTGAAACTTTTTCTTTGCAGCCATTGACTTGTCTACAGACACCTTTATGACTGTTCTAGACAATGGGGTCTATTTGTGCCAGCTTGCAAAACTCATCGAAAGCAAAGCACGGGAGTGTTTTGCTGAAGGAAAGGTCACTGAGGTAGTGAAAGGGATTTACCATATTTCATTTGTTAATACTATTAGTTTTACCCAGACACGTGAAGATCCGGGGTAGAATAGGCCTCCAGCAACCCATGCTTGCCATAAAAGGCGACTATGCTTGTCATAAGAGGCGACTAACGGGATCGGGTGGTTAGGCTTACTGACTTGGTTGATGCATGTCATCAATCCAAATTATGTGGATCAATGCTCATGATATGAATCACTGGTTTGTCATATAGCTGGAATATTGCTGAGTGCGGCGTTAAACAACAAACCAACCAACCAACTGGTTTTGTCCATGTTTACACCTTCTAAATAGTAGGGGTGGAATGATACATTGGTTTTCTTGCGATGATACGATACATGATACATTTTTTACTGTCGATACAAGATGATACATTTGCTAAAATGAATTACTTACTACTCATTTAATGAGTCCGTAGTGTTGCAAATATTGCAAAATGTGTTGTAATTTCACTACTAAAACTAGCCGCTACGAACATGTGTCTACAGCTTGCTTTACCTTATGGACCTGCACAGAAATATTCATTGTCAAGAAATTTCCACACCATTTAACGTAAATATGCATATCGCGATATATATATATCATGACCTATATATTGTGATACTAATCGTATTGTGACCTTCCTGTATGGTTTCATCAATACTAAACTATGTTGTTTTCTATAAAATATGCACAATATGGTATATGGGAAGGAAAGCGGATTTTAATCATTCTAATCACTAAATTATGAGCTAATCATGTAACATCATGTAATATCGATACCCAGGAAGAAATAAGAAAACCTATTTATGATTTATGTAAACAGACACTGTAAACAGTTTTATCATGTTTATATTGCAAATTTTTAAACATTAACCATTGTTAACATTGTATGACCGTGATGAAATTGTAAAAAATAGATTCCTAGCAAATTTACTTTATGAGATGTATAGCACTCTGAGGTAAGTACCATGGAGTTTACTAGTCTGCCCTTGTATTAGTTTCAGCAGATACCATATGGACTAGAATAAGCTGATCTTACTAGAGCAGAAGAAATTATATTAGACTATGACTAGTGGCTAAAATTGCAGACTGATGTAAGTCTTATTTCATTTTTAATTACTCAATATTTGTTCATTTTAGGACATGTATACATCATTTTTTATTTCTTGTCAGAATAACACTGGGTATTGAAGAAACACTCCATAATTAGGGTGATATGTTTCCCAAATCAAAATACTGTAAAATGCTCCACGAATGATGAGTATTTAACATGTTAAACATGACCGTAACTTTTTAAACATATTTTCACATTGATTTTATGTGAAAAGGTTGATCAAAATATAAAAAAATTGATTCAATTATCTCTGCAGCCCCTTCCCAAGATGAAGTTGAAATGCAACAACCGGGCACAGTCTGGAACCTGGTTTGCCAGGGACAATACAGCAAACTTTCTTCAGTGGGGCAAGGAGTGGGGTATGAAAGATGAATGTCTCTTTGATACAGAAACACTTGGTGAGTATACCCAAATGGTGTTGTGTAGTGTGTTAGTATATATGTTTGAAATACCTGCCTGTCCTTTATGCTGTGGCCAGTAGTATTTGAAGAGAACTGTAATCATATATTCAGCATGTTCAATTCTTGTCTTCTGTTTCCCTGACATGGTAGTAATCATGGAAAGATAGTTCCATATTCATGTTGTTTCATAGTTTGTGGCTGTATTTGTGATTCCGATGTGAACTTCACTTAGAGAATATATATATATTTTTGTCCAATTTCACTACTTACTTAGCATAGTTATTCCCCCCATGTGTCCAGTCTGCCAAGATTATCAATTTACGTTTTCCACCTCTGATCTGCACATGTTGCTGTGATTGTCATGGCAGGTGTAAAATTGGTGCAAGCTGTGCTTAGTGTAAACATCTTTCTGAAGATCAATTTCTTATCTACCTTCACAAGTGTAATAGGCACAAAATTAATTGGCATTCAAAATCTGTGATTCTGATAAAAAGGAGACAAGTCCAATTCTTCGTCTACACCCACGGTTGCATCAACTGCCACCAAGAAGAAGACCAGCAAGCCATAACTACCATTCCCGTTGTTGTCCCTACAGAGTCCTCCTTGCCCATGCTCTCTGTGCCCGGTTGTTGCATTTCAACTTCATCTTTGGAAGGGGCTGCAGAGATTTGTCGCAGGGACGATGTTACCATGAAGATGGGAACTGTTTTCTACATCAACAACACTAGCTTCCTAGGATGTGTGCTTGGTTATTTAAAGTGGTCCCTCTGACACTAATCTGTCGATTGTCACTACCGATCCTTCTACCGCTCTTTCAAACGTTATCTCACTCTCGGACAATCGTCTATCCTCTCCTATGGGCGTTTGCATTCACTCGTCCGACATTGTTGAACGTGGGTTCCACTTCTAAAGATGAACAGGGTTCGTTGTCTATGACAGTTCGCCAGGATCAAGATTGATCTCCCTCCTCACCAGCGTCTCACGGCCCTGGAGAAGTTTGTGAGATGGATCGTGATCCCAAGGCTCGGCACTCTGATTTGACTTCCCAATCTCAGAATTGATCCACACACGATGACTACTCTAAGGATCAGCACTCCCATAATCAACGTCTGAGTTAATGTGATCGTCGCTCAGGATCGGGTCACCGTTCTCAGGATCTCTTCACCCACAGATCTTCCAGTGGATCTGCCAATTACACCACGCTCTGATATTGGTCGCACCCCATGCCTAGAGGAAAGAAGATGTATTCAAATTTGAGACGACCTTCTACAGCCCCACTCCCAGTTGCTCCATCCATCGCTCGAAATGCTCAATTGTTGGGTTTTGCGCATCTTGTACCAAGATCCCATGTCACAAAAGGCTATTCTAAGAGGGTAGCGAAGACCATTACAGAGGCTCACTGCTCTGCTACCAAACGTGGACTTTTGAGGCCTTTTGTTGCGCTCGTGACATTTCCACTCACACTGCTGCTTTGCCACAACAGACCACCACGCTGTGATCAACTCTGTCATTGCCACTACCACAGGATCAAAGGTTTCCACCCTTGCTGAACTTCAATCTCTCATTCAGTCCTACAAATTGGCGGACCAGACCTCCCGCTTGAGATCTTAATGTAATCCTTCACCATTTGACTTTGGTTGACTACGAACCATTTGATGATGAAGAAATTGAGTTGGTCACTTTCAAGACGTATTATAGAGATCCACGCTCTAGATGTCAACCGGATCCAATTTTCCAAGAATAGAAAGGTTTTTCTGGGCCTTCGTTGGGGTTTGTGTCGAAGAACCAGCTTACGGATCAACCTGATCAGCTTTTTACAATCCCATCGCTTGCCTCCATCTTGTTCCAAGAAGATCTCTTCCTATGTCTGGTGAGCGCGCTCCAAATAGACTTAATAGCTGCAAGTCGACGTCATCGCTCCCGGAAGAGACTCTTCATTCCGTACTGCAGCAGTAACCAAAGTTTCCTGTACCATGATTTCCTCGCTTTGCTCGATCATCCTACGTGCCTACACTTTTGCTGGGTTGCCTCCACCTGTTGCATCTAATCCACATGAAACTCAGGCGTAAACACCGTAATTGCACTCTTTCAGCCATCATGGAAGGGTGCTTTTGGAAGTTGGACACAACTTATACTTATTAAAACTGAAAACTATAACACCTAAGTTCTTGTCGTTTATGGCGCTATTCAATTTGTTAAATATTTATATATTTCAATCAGCTTCCTTCTGTAAATATCATGGTTATATTTTTGACAGGCTTGGGTTTCTGCGCCCACTTTCTAACTGTTGGATCAATACAGAGTGTGAGATAGGATAGGTTTATGAATATCCTATCTCACACGCTATGTGCAACCTGACCATCCCAGCATCTTAGCTCGTCTAGCCTGTTAGCACTGACGAAAGAGAATGAAATGGATAGACACGTGCTCAGGTCGTGCAGGTCGCTTTGCGCAAGGATTATGTGCATGACCCATTTGTTGGGGTAGTGACCATAGTGATGCAAGGTGTGTGTTCAGATGAATTGTTTTTAGAAGCTGGAAACTTTGTTCAAGCTTGTTTCCACATAGGATCGAAAGAAGAAATGCATAGTGTGAGATTCCAATTTCATTTAGGGAAGATGGCCAGTTGGTGATTCCTGAGTATATTGCAAACCATTCTTGTCAGACCATTCTTAAGAAAACTATGAACTTTCTTTGCACTGTTGAGGGGACAAGCGCAGATACAGAATTTTGGAGAAGGATAGATGCATATCGTGATTTTGCAATTTCCATTCTCGTGTATAATATTTGTCCAAATGAGTTAGATTTTTAGCACACACAACAACCAATAAAAAAGTCCTGAATGTATAAATGTTTAGTATTCTTCAAAATGCAGGGTGTGAACCACTGGAACCCATTCTGGATCTAAATACATGTAGAGCCTTGATTGCTTGCTGGAGTTCCTTTGTTTGACTTCTTTGAAGTTGTTAAACACAAATTAATGTAAATGTGTCGTAATCTGTCTGCATCATTGTGATCTTATTACAGGAACATTTCTGCTGGGATGAAATGAAAGGCTTGAAAGACTCTTCAGAATAGTAATCACTGTTACTGATATGTGTAAATATTGTTGATCTACACAAGGTCTTCAGACTGGCCAGATTATGATGTAAGGGGAATAACTCTGTTGGAGAAGTGATGAAATGCCTTTCCTTGGCATGATTTATGATGATGCTTTATTCGTGATAGCATACTCAAACTGTCACACTTGTCGATCTTGTGGCTTAGATTTGAAATCACTTTGAATGTTGGATTGTCACCACTTATAGTCATGATAGTGGAGGTAATGGATGTGTGTACACACACTGTATAACCGATGACCGTAGTCATGTAATACGTTCAGGATATTTGTAAACAATTCGTGTGAAATAAAACAATTCATATATGGTATATGGAAAATAGTAATTTCATGGTAAGTTTTAAGGGCTGTTGAGACATTATTACTCTTCATTTTATAAAAGTATTGAAGTTGTATTGATAAATGTGCAAAATAAATTCAAGATTAATTTAAGCTAGTCATATTTGTACACAGTGATTCCAAAGCCATTCTTTCAAGACACCCATGTACATAATAAGTAGTGTCCTGCACTTGGCTATACAGACACTGAAAATATTACAAATGAGTTATATATACGTCATGAGATAGATACATTTAATATATGTGGCAGTTAGCATGCTTATGTAGTGGGCACCCGTAAAGACCAGGGTTAGAATAAATCTTCAGCAACCCATACTTGCCCTGAAAGATGCTTGTCATAAGGGGCGACTAACGGAATCAGGTGGCCAGGCTCGCTGACTTGGTTGTGTGTGTCATGATATCCTAATTGTGTGGATCGATGCTCATGATATCAATCACTTGATTGTCTGGTCTAGACTTGGATTATTTACAGACCACCGTCATATAGCTGTTATATTGCTGAGTGATGTGTTAAACAACAAACAAACAAACAATATATCGTGAGTTACTGTCTCTTTGAACATACATTTTCAACATGATCAGTGCAATATCATTGCTTATTTGAATCAGTATCACACAAGAAGGAGAAGCCAGTGATAGTGTGTCTCCTTGAACTGGCTCGTCTGGGCTACAAGTATGGACTGGAGCCCCCAAACATCATCAAGATGGAGAATGAGATCAAACACGAGGAGGATGATGAGGAGGATGAGGTTGATGCACTGCCACAGAAGACCATCGAGATCGTTGAAAAACGTCCAACCAAGGCTGCTGCACCTGCAAATAAGAAGCCAGTAAAGCTTGATTTGGATACAGAGGTAGGTCAGCAATAGAAATTGGCACTAGTCCTATAGTCCTTGTCAAACTGCCCAGTAGTTAAGGTATCATAAGGACTAGTAGACATATGCCATTTTTAAAGGTTTTGCTATATGTTATCATTATAAGGACTAGTGGACAAAAAAATGTTGGTTTCTAACACTGTAGGTGTATTAGGCAACAAATAATAATTTCTCTTATCTCATGGGTGCTGCCAGATTGTTGTTGTTTTTGGTGAAATTCACAATATCATTATGTAATTGTTAATTTTGTAACTGTTCACTAATTAGCTCTGCGACACTGCTTCATTCTACAAACTAGCTACACTGAATAATCATATTAATTAGCTAAGTTTTGTTTCAAACTTCTTTATCTAAAACTGAAGCAAATGATTTTAAGATTGTATTTCAACACATGAGACGTAAATCAAATAGAAATGTGCAGCGTGTGTGGTAGACCAATAGCCATTTTTTGAGTATTTATTAGTTGCTCTATGATAGAGTAAAATGTATGATAGATTAAAGTGTACTTGACTATTTGTCTGCGACTATATAAAAATAACCAATACTGTCTGTGACCACCAAAGGTCCAGCCAAGTAAAATTTCTCTCTGTCTAGTAATCTGTCCCATAAATCTAGTGTTTGGACTAGCAGACAGAAGTTTTTTGCACAGACTGCCAGATATAACATCTGATATTTTTGTTGTTCAGGTTAGACGTATTGCAACAAAATGTCGATGTCAGCAGCATGTGAAGAGGATCAGAGAGGGGTTGTATAGTATTTTTGGGAAAACCATTTTCATCCGAGTGAGTATAAAAATATTTAGTTCATTGTTGTAATTATTTATTCATAAACACCCATACATTGTGCATGTTAAGCTAAGATTGTACCCTTACTTAAATTCCAGGTTAGAATAGGTCCCCAGTATCCTATATTGTAGTAAGAGGCGAGACTAACTGGATCAGGTGGTCAGGCGCAGTTACTTGATTACATGTCATTGTACATTGACAACGGGGGGAATTGCTCATAATATCAATCACTGGATTATTTTGGCACAAATTCATTATTCAAAAGGCCACCAACATTCAGTAGGAATATTGCTGAGTGTGGCATTGAACAATACAGACATTATGTAATTACCTTGTCTCCAATGTAGATTTGTGTCATGTCAGTGTAATATCCTTATTTCTCAGCTCCTGATGGACAAACACCTAATGGTCAGAGTTGGAGGGGGCTGGGACACTCTAGAACACTATCTCATCCACCATGACCCATCACAAGTGTACACCTTCCACCGCTCCAACAGCAGGGACAACATCCTCGACAATGTAGATGGGGACCGCTTCCTCTATGTCAGGGGCAAGTACAAGAAGTGATAGAAGTGTGGTACAGAACATGCAGCAATTACCTCCCCTACCTTGCCCCTCCAAGTTAAGCCTGTTGAAGACAATCATTCAGGGCCCCATTCCACACATGATGTTAGCAGTATGGTTTTCATAAGTTTATGTAAAAGTATGGGAGTTATGATCATCTTAGCACTGTGATCACTTTGTGGAAAAGAGCTCTCTTGTCATACACTGTGATATCCATTCTAGCCGATGTGTAATGTCACTTACAGATTTAACAAAGTGGTAATTCATAGTGTTAGTTAGCCAAGTTCAAATCCTGAGGAACTGTAACATGAATTATTGTTCATATGAATGTATGACAATTTATGTTAGATTGATAGAACAACTTTTTTTTAGACCCATTGTTAGAGTTGTCTGCATGTGACTTGCTCATTTCAGTATTAGAATCCATGTGTGAAGAAGTTATGTCCAAGAAGTTTTGAACAGTATTTTTGTACTCTTCATAAAATACTCAATGTGATGCCAGGGTAAAGGTGCCCTTGTGTTGGACTCATGTTGTCAGGTTATGATCTGACAATAGTTGAAGTTGCAAAAGGGCTGGGTAAGAAAACATGCTTTAGCATGAGTTGTTGTTTGTCATAACTGTTGCTAATGATAATGACATTGTTTAGATAATATTTCAGTTCCTGGTAACAATGCCTTTCTCATTAGATTATGAGGTTAAATGAGACAGTCATTATCATAATTATGGCAGAACTTGAAATATGTACCATGAGATTTATCTAGACCTGCTGGTCGATATTCAGCCCAAAAGCTCATCAATTGTCAGTAAAAATTCCCATAATGTCATGATGGCGACTAATCCTATATCTTGCTAGCTTCCTACAGGGGCAGGACTTATATATTTGCGTTGACATGCCAGACAACATTGTCTAGAAATCACTGTTTACCTGAAACTGTTTGTCATACTGTATGAATAGAAAGCCTTAGCAGCACTACAAAAGTCAAATTGTGTGGAAAATGTTTGGATTTATATATAGTGTGTCTTGAGAGACATTGTCTTGTTGAGACAAACTAGTGTCAATGTCTGAGTGTCATCAGGTACCTATTACCAAGACTCTACACTGTACTGTTGGTTACAATGCTAGTCAGTTGTATTACAGGTGTTTTTATCAACTATTTAACATGTATATCATATTATTAATGTTGTTACATATGTAGATGATATAGAGTATTTATGTTGAGTATTATCTACACAAGTTCTTCTTCTAAGAGTTTGTGTTTATTTTGATTATTAAAAGTCATGTTTAATGAAGTTCAGTTGTATTGGCAATATACTGTGATATGAAGTGATCAAATGCTTGTCAATAATCTGTTATTAGTGTGACAGTACAATAGGCAAAATGAATTTATCATTATTATCGACCCAGCTAAATGGGATTGTATTTACTGTGATTTTAGAAGTATATTCAATTTTACAATGATAAGAAAAGATTCCTTATACAGTTTAGCACAATACTGTTTTCATAACCATTCAAAGGTTTGTTAGACCATTAAGATAATTCTAACTGATATGTTTTATGAATGTGTTGAAATATTTCTTCCCTCAGTATTATAGACTAGACTTATATACATATATAACATACCTCTATTGTTTATTCAAATTCAAGTATTAATAAGTTTTTTTTGTGCCAATTTTAAATACCTCCATGCTTTGTTACACTGAAAAAAAACCATACAAAGGGAGTAATGAAATTGTCAAGTTGGCTAGCCAGATCTCATTTGTGGTTTCATCATAATTGCCTACATTGATGAAAGTGGTGTAAGACTTAGTTGTGAATCAACTTCAATCAGTGATATTCTATCCATTACAGCTGTTAGTTTTTGGCTTGTCTCCTGAAGTCCTGATTGTGGTTGATTATTCCCTGCTTTGTCACACAATTCCCAGTGCAAATTCCCACTCTGGTGTTTTTCTGAACAACCCTAATAAGCTGGTATTGGAGATAAAAGGTGTCATGCTAGAAGCATTTCACTGACAGTACATGTAAATTGTTGTAACTGGAGCAGAAGTAAAGTGCCGTCCTCATGGTTGAGAAAATAGTGTTTTAAGAGTGTTACTAATGTAGCATATGCACTTTCTATGCTTTGGATTGTTATTCTTATATTTTATGTGAAATCCATGCTTCCACCCTGACAAATACCTCACTTCATACAAGTACAGTATATTTGTTGATCCTACTTTGAGTGATTAAACAGACATATCCAAAGACATTTGCTTTGAAAACCACATCACTTTGCTAAAAAAACATGTATATATACGTTCTACTGTCAAAATGGTTAAATGATGTTTAACAACTGTGTATCAAAGAAATATTTATATATCTGTTGGGACCATTCCATTCAGCTTGTACAAACAGTCAAATAACAGTATTGTTACAGATTTGAGTGAGTGAGTTTAAATTAAACATTGCATCTACATTGTTTCAGCCATAGTGCAATGAGAAAAGTTATGGAATTTGAAGAATGTGATTAAAACATCAAAGCTTTATATGAAAGCAATTTGTCAAACATATTTAAAAGAGGCAATAATATTGATCAATTGGATATGAGTCTTAACTGAAATATCTTGTAGAGTGCCTTGAAAATTCTTTTGGTAAGGTATGTACGTTAAAATTGTTTTATATATGACAGTTATAGGTTTGTTGTGGTTAACATTTACTATAGAAAGTTAATTTTACTGCATGACAAAAGGCCACTATGCTCGTCATAAGATGCGACTAACGGGATCGGTTGGTCAGGCTCGCTGACTTGGTTGCTGCATGTCATCAATCCCAATTGCGTGGATCAATGCTCATGATGTCAGTCACTGGATTTTTTGGTCCAGACTCATTTATTTACACACCGCCATCATATAGCTGCATTATTTCTGAGTGCAGCATTAAACAACAAACAAACAATTAGTCATTGTTAGACACGTGATGTTTATTACGATGTTTACATTTGTACATCAGGAATAAAGAAGCTTTGTTGGCATGCACAACCCACATAAAATTGAGAATTATGGACAAGAGTTTGTAGATGCTACTTGAAGATGCTACTAGTTATTGAAAATGAGGCTACAAGGAGCCTTGTCAATTAAAGCTAAGCGTAGGATGATTTAGTTTTAAAATGGACAGTATTTTGTACTTTTTGTTTAACCTCTGCCAACTATCAGGCCAATTCATCAATAAAACAAGGGAAGCACTATAAGAATTGCAAGTGTATGTTGAAGTATATGACTTTAAGACAAGATATTGCAGACCCCTATGTAGCATCTTTTCCAAAATTGAACGTTTACAAAGGTTGTCTTTTGAGAACCAGTTTTTGTTTTTCATCCTCAGATTTAAGGTCAGTTCCAAGGTTTAATCAAATGTTTATTCTTTCTGACAATGGCAGTTCGTCAGACATACCATCTAGATTGATGAAAAATTTGATACGTGTAATTGTCATACGGGGTTTCACTTGAATGATGAGAGTGTTGTTTTTGTGTAATTGTATATACATCAGTGATTATGTAATTGTCAGGTGGTGAGTTGTGTTGTAATTTGACAAACAGGATGATTCATATCTGTGTTTGTACTGTTGCTGTGATCAGAGACAACATTCTGTGTACGGTGTATGTTTGAATGTGCTGTTTTACGTGATTACAGAATTTCCATATACTACAACTCGTAGCTGTCAAGTATCGTGGGAGCACAATACTGCGACTTACACATTTCCAAATCTGCAGCTAATTGAAGGCAGATATGTCTACCTTGTTATTAGCTTATCTGACTGAAAGTCAAGTGACCTTATGTCGTTGGAATGAAATGTGATATGTGTGTAGGTTGTAGCGAGGCTCAACATATGTGTTCCATTTTTGTGTTACATTATATTTTGACATTGATTTGACCATTCTATTTAAGTTTCTCATAGGCATATTGGCTCTGTAAACTTCTTCTCTAAAACTGACAGTCCGAAGAAGCTAAACTTTGGCATGTTTCTCCTCAATTACATCATAATTTGTGCAAATTATTACATTTTAGTGTTACTTTTTAGTCCTCAGTAATTATGCAGAAAATATTTGAATATTGATATTTTGACTACATATTCAGGTGAGCTACAGTGCCTGTGGCAGTATTTTTTCAAATAACCTACTGCATGATTGAAACTTTATGACATATGCATCTCATACATGCATCCTTTCACTCCCAAACGTTCACTAGAAGTACATAGTGGTTATGTAAAGGGCAATAAAAGTTTTGTCTTGTTTACTTAGGATGGAGTGTCTTGCTTAAATGTCATAAGCTCAGATAAAAAAGTTTGAATTAGAACACATTCTATCATTTCATACTTGTGTTATGTATTAAAGTTTATTAAATGTTATGCAATTGTTTCCAAAGTACAGACCACTTAATCAAAATACATCAAGGTGTTAGGTTATGTAAGTGAAAGACAAACTCTCACAACATTCAAAAGGTTCTAATGTTAATACTTTTACAGTATTTATGATTTTATGTAATGGAATGCATTATTGCCCATGTTGTCTAAGGCACACTGTGCAGAAAGATGTCCCTTAGTAGTGTCAGGATCCTCTTCTGGTTTTGAATCCCATTTTCAACCTGACAATGATTTCATGTTGCCTGTGTCCCTTTGGGCATCCCTTCCGCCCTCTCTCCCCATGATAAAACTGAAATACCGTTCAAAGAGATTGCTCACTCACCCACTCACTGACATTGCAAGTTTAATGTCTTGTATTCAGAGTGATATGCTTTCAGCAGTATTGTAATGTAAACACAGATGTTAGGTTTAATATTCCACTTTCTAGTATTAATGATACTTGTTTATCTGTCTTTCCACCCAAATGTTGTAACCGATATACACAGGTTTGTGTACCCGATTAATAGTATATAGACATACTCTGTTTTGCTACGTAAGAAGCTCAGATTATACCTGTGTTGTTATTTTGTTGTTTTGGTTGTATTCTTAGATATTTATTTTGTGATTTGTCTGTGATCTGCCTTTGTGATGTTATTGTTGTTGTTACAGTTACTTGTGCATGTTGTTTAGAGGACATTTTATTGGCCAGTTGTAGAAATATCTATATTCTTCAGTGGTGGATACCGTGGGTAACCTACACAGAGCCCAGTGATGAAAAAACAAATCAAAATAGATTTTTGTTGAAATACTTGACATCCCCCTTTTCCAGCAGAAGATTAAAAATACTGACACCCTTCTGAAGGTAAAAACTCAAAAATGTAAAACCGGACTGATGGTTAAATTGAAAATGTGACACCCCTTTCATTGTCAAATACAAAATGTGACACCCTTCTCAATGTCAAATACAAAATGTGACACCCTTCTCAATGTCAAATACAAAATGTGACACCCTTCTCAATGTCAAATACAAAATGTGACACCCTTCTCAATGTCAAATACAAAATGTACAGTACTGAAAGTTAAAATTAAGAATGTGAATACAAAATGTGACCCTTTCTGATCAGATAGATGTTAAGACTTGGCATGTGTGCTTTTGTGAATACTAGCTTTGTTTGCATGTTGATTTATTTGTTTACTATTATGTTGAATAGTTTGCCACTTTTATCATTCCAACAGGTGAATTTTCATGATCTTAAGCTGTCAATGTTATTT